CATTGATGAAAATATGCTCTGTAGCAGCGTAAAGTAACAAATGCTTAAAAAAAGAAAAAATTCGTGAATCCTGTTAGATCCTGGATAGATCAGTGGTTAGAACGGTCGCCGTTTTGGGTCTCATCTCAGAATTACATCAACAAAGTGGATTTTTTAACTATTTTTCATTTAAAAATATGAATATTAATCTATAATAAAATCAAATACTAACATTCAAATAATAAAAATATGACCGTATTCTAACGGTGTGCCATGCCACCGTTTGTTTTCCTAGGTTTCAGTATGCAAACTTTTTGTTTTTGAAATTCAACATCATTTCATTTTATTATTCGTCTTTCGTAATTTAAAATTTTGACTAATCAATTATACTCTTTATGGATGTCAGTTCGTAAGAAATTCTCCTATGCACAAGATGAAATTATAATACAATACAATATTAATGGTATAAATTTTACTATGTAATTTTAAAATAATTCATTTATTATGATAAATAATGTGATATGGTGATACAAATTATATAACATATGTAACTACTAAATTGTAATCTGTATTTTGGAAGATCCAAAAGCTAGAAGCCCGACAAGGGTTTTTTCTTATTACCCTTATTTAACTAATAAATATATACTCAAGCTAAGCAGCCTTATTAATTGACCCAAGCACCGAACCCGTAACACTGGCGCCGCAACGTGGTTGAAAAATAGGCTGACTACTGCAATAGAAGACAATAGTGCACACTTTACGACCAACACCACAAACACATTTACTCACATAATCAGACAATAGACGTTTAGCGTTACTTTGGCTGGTCACAAATGTGATCGGTTCTGATGCCATTGTATCGAGGAACATAGAAACACGTACTCAACATAGTGTTATAAAACAGGAAAATTTTAATAGTAAATAATTTAATTTAGATTCCGTATATATAAAGGTACGTAAGCTATTTTTATTTTTTTTCAAAAATTTTATGAGATTTCTTTTTGACGAATAATATTATTTTTAATATTTAAAAAATAGAATATTGTAATTTATTTTCCGTTTACGATTTGACATTCATTTCTTTTATAATAATCAATTTTAATCATGGATATATCGTACTTGAATAAACCAGAAATTATTTATGAACTGAAATTACGAAACGCGAATTTCGAATCCACCCAAACGGCTCAAGAATTGCGTGAAATTTTATTACCAATGATAGGAGACCCTACTAACTATCCTCCTATATCATTTAGTCCGATCGAATTCAATATTAATGTGAGTGAAATCAATAAATGTTTAGATTTGATTTCAATCACATTATCATCTTATCCAACTAGGAAAAATAAGATTAAACCCTACCTAATTCATATCAGAAATAGATTGTCTCTAATAGAATTGAAATTCAAAATACAAACGAGGATATCACCACAATAAAAAATTTATTTGATCGTTTACAACAATATGAAACAAATTATTAAAATCTAGAATTTACTCCACCAACTTCTACATATCATTCTGCAGTTTCTGTACAACAGACTAGTGCTGTACAACCTTTTTTAGAAAACCTTACCCATACGTTACAAAGTTTAACGAATAACAAATCAAATTTAGAAATTAAAAGATTTAACTATTCCGGCGATGGCTGTCCTCGAGATATTTTACAAAAGGTGGAAGAATTTGCAACAGCTAGAAATATCAATTTTATTTCATTACATAACCATATTTATGATATTCTATCTGGAATAGCTCTTGAATGGTACAGAGCCAATAAAGAATCTATTCCAGATTGGGATACATTTAAAATTAAATTTTTAAAATATTTTGAAATTACCTATTACGATTACAAACTAAAAAAATTTATTGGTTCTCGTAAACAAAAACACAATGAACGTATTATTATTTATTTTGCTACAATGGAATCCTTATTTTCTAAACTACATGAACCTCTTACCGAGAAACAAAAAATTTAAATTTTACGAAGGAATTTGAAACCTGAATATGGTCAACGACTTTTACCACAAGATTTACAATCTATCAATACTTTAATTGAATCTTGTAAGTGGTATGAAAACTGCTTACAGGTTTCAACTGACGAATCACTGAATTTTTCTGATATTTTACCAAATTATAATAAACCCAATAAAAACTAACATAATTTTTACGATTTACCCCCCAATACTTCTAACAATAATTTCGCTCAAGTTTATGCTGTTTCTTCGAAATCTATTACGAAGGTACTACAACACCCAATTTCAAAAGTTAGGACTGAACAAAAAAACTCTCAAATATATGTAGGATATGCCCTACGTTAACCCTTAACAATATACACTCCCTTTTTTGGGTATTCTTGTAAAATTAAATAAGCCTACATGTGCTTTTCATTCAATAAAATAGCAAAGCATTTATTATTTCCCTTAACGCGTTATCAATCAATTTTTTTCTATAAATAAATTTCATCTTTCGGAATATATTGTGTACGTATTGATATGATATATAACATGAAGACAACACGTTCCAAGCTTAATCATAACAAATCCTACCATACGGATCGAATTATATCTATCTCGCTCTAGAATTACTACCTACCACTATAGTGTGTAATAATAACACCACGAGAGGAAAGGGGGCACAAAAAATTGGGTTTAACTTTTTCAAAAACTGCATTGAAATATAAATGGTCAGCCATAGGCTTGGTCAGTTCAAGTGCAACCACCGTCGGGGGTACACGATACAACTGTGCATTAATTACAAACTTGAATTCTGTGAGTGACTTAGTCTGTGCTGTTTTAGGTATGTATTTATTTTTGTTACTTGTTCCATGATATATTTATATTTTGATACAGTCACTGTGATTTATATACAAATAATTTGGATATATTTTATTTGTTAATATATCTAAAATATAATACAAAAGTTTTTATATGAATCGGAATAAATATTATAAATTTATACGATATAAATTTTACGTAGTAAATGTGTATCTGTAATATAAATTAATTTGTATTGAATAAACTGATAAAAACTAATAATTAATAAATAAATAAATTAGATCATTTTTATATGAGTAAATCAATATAAATATCCAGTTTTTTTTATTATATTCATCAGCACAAAGTTGCAAAATCAAACTTACATACTATTTTATATATACTTTTATATTTTACTGGATATTGAGATTTGCATTTACTACAATATGTTCATATAACAAAAGATCGATACATACATTTTATATTATTTTATCTTTTTGGATTACTTATTTAATAAAAATATAAATATTTTACAAACTCCAAACTAATTATATCAGTAAAAAATCGTACATTTTCTATGTATACTTTTATATGGTAATAGAAAACTACTGTTGATCAATATATAGTTCTACTGCTGAATAAGGCATGCAATCGGTAAAAATTGATATCTATGTGCAGCAGTGAAGACGGTTATGTCGTCCTAAGCGGTTTTTCAAACTAGTTATAATGAACCATTGCCAACAGTTTTACAAATACCGATATTACGATATAGACAACAAGAAAACGTATAAAAGATCATTTGTATATTCAACTATTTTATGTTTTACTGGACATCGGACTTTTCATATATCAAAAGATTGTGTATCGTATATAATTTGCCTTCTTTGGTTTCTTATTAAAATGTTAATATACATTTTAAACTTCTAAGTAATTATAGTCGTAGATAAATCTAAAGTATTTTATATAGTTAACTGTAAAATAGAAGTTAACTGTTGATCGATGCATAGCCCTACTACCGAGAAGGGCACGTAACTGGTAACCGGTAAATATCGGTACCGATATTACCAAAGATTATTTTGAATTTAAATTACCGCTACTTATGATAATTAAAAAAAATTGAATAAATTCATTTGAATGGAACATTTTGTTTAATATATCAAATGCTTATATTATATAAACTTTCGAGTTATTTAGTACTAACATATAATAACATTCACCTAAGTTTGATATTTACCATGAAATTTAAGATCAACCTTTACTTCATACGGAAAGTAAATCCGTAGGTATTTTCTTCAGATTATTATTTCGTCTTATAAATTTGGTAATAAAGAAACAGAAGTCTCGTCACATTCACACATTTTATGATTTGTACCTTTATAAAAGCTCTAGAATCGGTATTATTTTGAAATATAAAATTAACGAGGTTATTCTGTATAATTATACTGAAGCTGTCGATTACGTTTCCCATATAATTGCAATATTGTTATTGACATGACCTTAGCATTTATTTTTTTAAATAAATGCTAATGTTTGAATAAGCCCGAATTTATTTATGGTATACAAAATAAAAAATTGCTATTTTAATTAGCGATATAAAATGAACTTATATTTCATCAATTTTGTATTCACGATTCTATATTGATATTTATCTTAAACAAAAATTGCTGTTTTAGTTAATACTTTGACTCTTATAAATATTTGCATTTAAATAAAGGTTATCTACAATTTTGATACTACCTATAATATTATTTTATTATGTGTTACAAATAGTACATGCTTTATTGAAAATAATTTTCTGGGGCCAATGGTATTCATTTATTCTGTTCGATTTTTTTTTCAAACAATAATTCACTGCACATTAACCTTTGCTACGGTTAAATCCCTTTTTTGTTACCGTATGATAACTGCACCTTATGCCTGAAATCAGGGTTTTCCAACCATTGGATCTGCCCCGATACACGCAAAGTCAAAGTGCGGTGAGCCACCTGATAAAGTCTTAGTATTCTTTTGTAATCATCGTGAAAACGTAAAAACACATTAGCATTAACGTGAGTTTTAATTTTTTTACAGTTCCAAGAACGTGACGGTAGCAGTATGTCATCACTCCCCAGTATTGCACAATCACCGGCTTCAAGCGAGCCGTCCACTTCGGCAGCCTCGACCAGCGCTACGGCCAGCAATAGCTTCAACGAACCAGACGAGTCAGTCGTCACGTCTCGTTTCATTTCTGATATTCTCCATACAAGGGAGAATATATCTCCTACCGAATCCATGTATTCAGAGGAGTGCATTGCTGATGATATCGAACTGCCTTCAATGAGTGGTTTGCCAAATCCCCTGGGCGCCATTGGTTGTGAATTTGCTAGGATCAGAAAGAATAAGAGTAAACAACAGAGGACATACAAAACAGACAATGTGAGCGGTTTACCGAGCAGGTCAAACTTAGTAACCATGACCTGTTTGGGATGCAATAAAAGCTCGCCAACGACGCGTTGCCTACAATGTAGAAACCTATTTTGCAATGACTGCTGCTATAATTTTATATCAGTCTGTCAAATGAGAAAACACGCGCTCCACCCTATAGATCCGTCATTTATCGGTATGATACCAAGTCCTAAAAACAGTGATAAAGACGACATGTACTGTGAACTCCACGAAGATGCTTTGAAATTTCATTGCAAAGAGTGCAGTGTTTTTATTTGCCATAAATGCACTCTGTGGGATCATAAAGACCATGACTACATTCCAGTAAACGGTGTTTTCGATAAACTTACTCGTTTAGATATGATGGATGTAATAAAAGATGTTATAAACAGTACGAATACAATTAAAATTGAAATCGATCGCGTGACGGCAATGTCAAAAGCTTATGCTAAAGAATCTGCGGAAGCAGAAAATAAAATCAGAACAGCTATGCAGTATTTGGCTAAGGCTGTCGAAGACCATGAAAAGTACCTTTTGGATAAGGTTGCAAATATGCGTCAGACGAGGATGAAGGAATTATCTCGTCATATAAATAAATTGAACGGTATGCTTGAAGGTTTATCTCTTTCAAACGACTCATTAATGCGAAATATAGATGCACAAGGAGTGGAGTTATTTATAGTCAAAGAAAATAGTAGAGCTCTGGTGGATCATATTTCATCTACATTCGAAAATATGAATGTGAATGAGGAGAAAATTGGCTTTATTCCACCCAATCATTATTTAATAGAACAATTAAAACGTGAGTGTGATGTACAGCCAATTTCTCCGAGTAGTAATGTATTACTTAATTACTCTTTAAATCACCCTCGCCAGTCTTGCAGATGCAGTATTTGCAAACAGCTCAATAGTTTACCTCTTTCGAATCACAATGTGGTCACAGTTAGCGGCATGAACTCACAACCACGTTTTTATTCGATTACGAGTATAAGGTCTGCCAATAGTCATTACGACTACCCTAACTATTCGCCATCGTCTGTTATAAATAATGTTTCTCATTTAAGTCGTGAAGGTTCTGGAATCGGTCCATCGGGCAATATGACCGAACGGTATAGTCCGATTTTTTTAGAAAATCAGTAAAATTAAACCATTTTATGGAATTTAAACAATCACGTGTATTAAATGTAATCTTTCAATTGACATTCATCTTGATTGACATGTAATTTAACAACGAACAAGATGTGCAATAAATTTACAAAGTGCAATTTATAAGTTTAGTAAAATAAACGTCGATAAAAATCAAATAAAAGGCAATGCAAAAAAGTTATAGTATTTTTAACCAATTTCAAAATCGAAAAGAGGAATTTTATATATTCGACGGCGATGTATGTTTCTTCTTGTTTTCTATATTACAATGTTGTACTTTTAACTTTAATAGTGTTAAATCAATTGATATGTTAATATGAATCCATAAAACGTAAAACGAAAAACCAGAGTTAGCAGAGTTCAGAGAAATCAAAATAAATCGGATAAACACAATTTCTTTCTTCAGAACTGATATTGCTGGATTAAATATGAAACTTTGTATCTTCTTTATGGAATACCATTGAAGCGTAATCATTATGTATTTTTATACATATTATATTATTTGTAAAGACCTTTCGACCTTTTGTAAACTAGTTGTATTTTGAAATTAAATAGTAAGTTTTTCACAAGTTTGAATTTCTTAGCATAGAATCAATATTGATTAAAATTAGTTGTATACTACATCACTTTTAGTTAAAAGTGGGATAAAAAGTGAACTCTACAGGTTGTATTATCGTACATTTAATATTTTTATATTAGATTCAAAAAATCACCATAACTCTTATTTCGACAACATGCATACTGTCCATAATGGTCTTGAAAAGTCAAGTTATCGATGATAAAGGTAGATTGAGTGATGTATTTCTAACTCCAGGGTAGTTTGGTGGCCTTTGGGAATCGACTAGCTCAAATAGGTTCAGCTAATTCTTTAGAAATAGGGTTGTTGTATTATATTTCGTAAAAACTTGATATTTTTAAATTTAACTTTAAATGTTATTTTATTTTTATTTTACTATATTTTCTTTAATAATATTACTTAGGCGCTTGTGTTGTGTTAAATAGTATTGATCTATTAAAATTATAAAAATTGACATAATACCAGGGTGTCAAAGAGAGATGGATACGAAAATGTGTAAGAATGTCAAGTGTAACTGGTAGTTATAGTATTATTGTACTCAGTCCTCTGAGGCTGTGGCGGCGCTGGCGATGGATTTGATGCTGTCGTCGCCATCGCTTACCTTTCCTTATGATTATAGTGTTCACGTTATTATAACCGCATCTACCTCATTCGTAATGTATTTAAGACTGATTAGAATTTATGCAATGGTAGGTAGTCAGATCACCAATTAGAAGTCTTTTGTCTACTAACAATTTTAATTTTCCTTCTCTCATTTTATTATAAAAGTGTTTGTGTATAGATGTGTTAGTTAGTGTATTTATAATTATATGGTGCTATTGTTATTATGATAATTATTGTGATATTATTATTATTGTGCTATTATTATTTTACGTTATTAAAAGCTTGTTATAACTTTGTGTGTCAAAATTAATCAAGTGATTACTACACACTTTTATCAATGTTAAATGTGTTTAGGTTTAAGTAGTGGTCTTAAGATATCATGAAAGTTTTGAAATTTTAAGAATCTATGAAAATGAACAAAGTGAAAAATAGCAAATTGTTATTTTATTTTTAAACCTCTCTCTCTTACACAAACTCACACATACACGCACGCATGCACGCACGCATGCACGCACGCACATACACACACACACACACACACACACACACACACACACACACACACACACACACACAAAGGCCTGAGCCCCTGCAGTGGGGACGTAAAAGGGCTGATAATGATGGTGATTAATATATTAACATAAAAATTGTACTACAATTTAATTATTAACACAAAAATTACAATTTACACAATTCTAGGCAAATATATAGGTATAGAAAACAAACCATGAAACTGTATATATTCATGTTTTTCATAGTTTCGTGGTTATTTAATCTAATTCTGCACTACGGAATTAAAAAAAAGTGATTACCGGGTGACCAAGATAAGACTCTTGCTTTAGACGTGATTTACGGTGATTGGTTGTACTGTTTGTATTTTTTTCGGATGTACCTTTTGATTTGGAGATTACAAAATATAAATAATTACGATTTTTTAGCCCAATTTTACCCCTTAAGCAGCTTTATTTTTCGTTAATCTTTTTTAGCGAATCCCTATTTCACAATAACTATTAGTGTGCCAATATTCAGTTCGCTAACTGCATTAGGATTCTAAATCTGTAACAATGCGGTAAAATAAAGTAACAGCTGTGAAGCTCCGCTACGACATAAATAATGCTACGCAGTATTATAACCGACAAGGACGTCTACGTGTCCACGTGTGTGCTACGGTCACGGAGCTCACCCACTAATAGTCCGTCGATCGTCTTAGATATGCATCATCAAATTTTAAAACTACTAATTAATAACTGACAATCAAACCCAAACTATTGAGTAAATGCAACATATAAAGGATGTAGAAAACTTCAAAATAACTAATTGGAAGTAATAATATTTACGTTATATTTACGTTATATAATATAGTTCCATTTAATTATCTTACGAAATCAAAATTATTTATATAACAAATAAAATAACTAACATTCAGATGATAAAAATTTTGTACCTGTGAATCATTGTAGTTCGATGTATTGAAGTATTAAATATTAAAGAATTTGTGTTTATGAAATACCATAAAATCAAGGCGTTTTCTTAAACAAAAGATAATAAGGCTTAGGATTGTAGCAAAGAAACTTTAATGATTTCTTGCCAGTGCTATACACAGACGGTTAATAAGTATAATACCCTTTTCTTTTTAAAAAAGTTCAGATAAAGAGATGGTTCAATATTTTCACGTGTAAATTTGTATGGAAATTATTGCAGTCTGATTTATTTTATCTCATCTCCACCTATTTTTATCTGTAATGTTTCGGTATAAATAAATAAATAAGTTCAAAGACTGGTTCGTGACATTATCACAAAGTTGTAAATCAGTCCCATCGTATCTGATTTATTTTTGCAAATATTTATTGCAGTTTCATGTATATGTTTAATAATAACATAAATACTTTTTTAGTCTATGATTTTAAATTGGATTTTTATAATCTTCAATAGCAATTGTTTATTTATTCAATCTATCTAAACTAATGTCTATACATACGTTTCTGTAAATTGTAATACAATACAAATTCATTAAATAAATACTTATGTTACAAATACAAAGGCGTCTATGTAATAACACAACAACATTCAACATTCTATTCTACATTCATTTCTATTTTAACCATAGAATGTTGTTGAATTATCTAGTAGACTGACGGCTGGTTGGGTTATTACATAGACGTATTTTATTTTATTTTATTTGTAACATAAGTATTTATTTAATGAATTTGTATTTTATTTCAATTTATAGAAACGTATGCATAGACATTAGTTTAGACACATTGAATATATAAATAATTGCTATTGAAAATTATAAAAATCAAATTTAAAATCATAGACTAAAAAAGTATTTATGCTGCACGCAACATGCTGCGACCCTCAACTATATTTAAACTGACTAATATTAATAAACACATACAAAGCCATGTTAACATATTACTAGAACAATAAAATTACATCAACTTAGTTTACATAAACTTCCTTAAAATAACATTAAACTTAAGTTTACATTTTTTATCATTATATTGTAATTAATCAACCAAATATTTTTATTGACTTACATTCCATAACATATAACAATTATTATTTTATTTATAATCTATAGGTAATGTACTTAATCGCGTAACAGATCTAGTATGCGTTTAACCATTCATTGTCTTAACCTCTACAGCTCGTACGTTGCCATCTGAGCCAGGAAATACATTAACTACTCTTGCCATAGTCCAGTACATAAGCGGTGTATTACTTTCATGTAAAATTACAAGTGAACCAACTTTAATGTTAGGAAGAACATTTCTCCACTTGGGACGAGATTGTTATAAATTCAAATAATGAAATTCAAACAACTTTCCAGAATGACTGTTGCATGCTAGTGCATATTTTCCAAAACTTAATCCTATTTTCTGGTATATGCGTTAATTCTTGTTTTGTGTAACTAACTGATTGATAAGAACAGTCACTGACATCACTAGATAATGGAACTAACTACTATTAAGCACTGCTTCAATTTTACACAAGACAGTGGACAACTGTTCATAAGTTAACAACGCTCTTTGAACAACCCGCTTCATATTAAATTTAACGCTTTTCACTGAAGCTTCTCATAATCCACTAAAAACTGGAGAATAACAGGGTATAAAATGAAATTTTATTCCTTTATTAGATGCAATTGATTAAACCTTCATTTGGTGTTCTCTAGAAGTTTGTATTTTATAAAAAACATCTAATTTGGACTTAGCACACTTAAATGTTGATGCATTGTCACAATAGACATCTGTTGGTAACCCTGGTCGTAAAATAAACCGGCTAAAACATGCAAGAAATGAATCAGTTTTAATATCAGATAATAATTCTAAATGCAATGCTTTTGTAACAAAACATACAAACACACATATATAAACTGTAGACTGATATGACTTTCTTATTGAAGATTGTTTCACAGTAATAGGACCGGCAAAAGATACTTTAAATGCATGAAGATACTTTACATGTTCATTTATTATTATTAATTTTGTAATAATAGAATCTTTAGGCAACACAATTTGTTGTTTTTGTGAATACAGCATGTTAGCGTTTTGTAAACGACCACCAACTCTATTTAAACCTCTCTCATCAATGAAAGGATGCAAAGCTTAAATATTACCTTTTACAGTACCACTTTTCTTAAACAATTAATCTCATCTTTCATATACAATTGTTGTTCATATCTTAATATTAAAAATAAAGAATTATTTAATTTTGAACTCGTTATAAAATGACATTATATTGCGTGTATTGTGACAAAATCTAAGCACATAAGCTAAACCCTTTGAATTTTATTTATATCAGAATACTT